GCTGTCCTGGAACTCACTATGTAGACCAGGCTGGCCTTGAACTCACAAAGGATTAAAGGTGTGAACCACCATGTCCGGCTAATTTTTAAAAATATTTTATTATTTTTATGTGTATGAGTGTATTGTCTGCCTGTAGGTGAGTGCACCCGTGTTGTGCAATGCCCGTGAGGACAGAAGAGGCCATCGGATCCCCTGGAACTGGAGTTACAGACAGTTGTTAGCTCCATGTGGGTGCTGGGATTCGAACCCGGGTCTTCTGCAAGAACAACCAGTGTTCTTACCCCCTGAGCCATCTCTCCAGCCAGATATTTATTAATTTTTAAAAATTACTATTATTATTATTATTTTTTTGGTTTTTTTGAGACAGGGTCTCCCTGTAGCCCCAGCAGTCCTGGAACTCACTATGTGGACCAGGCTGGCCTTGAACTCACAGAAATTCGCCTGCCTCTGCCTCCCGAGTGCTGGGACAACAGGCGTGTGCCACCATGCCTGGCTCTTTTTCTCTTTTTGAGGCAGGGTCTCCCCGTATCCCCAGCTGGCCTGGAACTCACTATGTTGACTGGGCTGGCCTTGAAGTCAGAGAGATCCTCCTGCCTCTGTCTCCTAAGTGCTGGGATTAAAGATGTGCACCACCATGCCTAGGTAGAAAATATATATATATTTTTTTAAAAAGAATTGTATTAGCAGAGACCAGCCTAGTCTACATAGTGAGTTTCAGGCCAGCCAGGGCTACTTAGTGTGACCTGTCTCAAAAATTTTTTATTTAGGGCCAAGGAGATAGCTCAACAGGTAAAGAAAGGCATCTGCCACCAAACCTGACAAGCTGACCACCTGAATTCCCCTAGGACCTACATAATGAAGGGAGAGAACTGACCCTGCAAGTTGTCTTCCTACACACACACACACACACACACACACACACACACACAAATTGTATTTATTAAAAATAACTTGGGCTGGAGAGATGGCTCAGAGGTTAAGAACACTGACTGGTCTTGCAGAGGACCTGGGTTCAATTCCTAGTATGTAAATGGCAACAAACAGCTGTCTATAACTCCAGTTCTAGGGGATCCAGTGTCCTCTTCTGACCTCCACAAGCACTGCGTGACATGGGTGCACTTACCTACATGCAGGCAATACACTCATAGGAATAAAATAAAAATAATAATAAAGAAAAAGAAAAACAATGTTTTATTAAAAAAAAAAATCATTCGAAGAGGCTAGAGAGATGGCTCTTTAGCAGTTAAGAGCATTTGCTGCTCTTGCAGAGAATCAGGGTTCAGTTCCCAGCACCCACATGGTGGCTTGTAAAGGTCTATGACTCCAGTTCCAGGGGATCTGGTGCCCTTTTCTGAACTCCTTGGGCACCACGCACACATGTTGTCTACGTACGTACATGTAGGCCAATGCTCATACACATAAAATGAAAATAAATGAATCTTTAAAAATAATTAGGCAGGGGCTGGAGAGATGGCTTAGAGGTTAAGAACACTGGTTTTTCTTGCAGAAGACCGAGGTTCAAATCCCAGCACCCACATGGCAACTAACTGTCCGTAGTAACTCCAGTTCCAGGGGATCCGACAGCCTCTTTGTCTTCCTTGGATATTGCATGACATGGGTGCACTTACCTACGTGTAGGCAATACACGCATACACATAAAATAAAAATAAAAAAAATTAAAAATAATAATTAGGCAAATGCCAGGCATAGGGACATATACATCTGTAATTTTGACACTTGGGAAGTAGAAATAGGAGAATCTAGAGTTCAAGGCTAGCATGGGATACTTAGCAAGTTTGAGGCCAGCCTGAGATACATAAGACTGTCTCAAAAAAACCAAACTAGCAAGGCATAGTGGTGCATGCTTTTAATCCCAGCACTTGCAAGGCAGAGGCAGGAGGATCTCTGTGAGTTCAAGGCCAGGCTGGTCTACATAGTGAGTTCCAGACCAGCTGGGGCTGCAGGGAGACCCTGTTTCAAAAAGACCAAAAAACAAACAAACAGATTTAAAAAAAGAAAAAAAAAAAAAAAAAAGCCCCAAACTAGGCAGGAGTCTGATTTCATGAGTTTTTTTTTTTTTTTTACTATTTTTATTTTATGTATATGTGTGTATTGCCTGCATGTAGGTAAGTGCACTCATGTCATGCAGTGCCAGAGGAGGTCAGAAGAGGCTGTTAGATCCCCTGGGACTGGAGTTATAGACAGTTGTTAGCTGCCATATGGGTGCTGGGATTTGAACTTGGATCTTCTGCAAGAACCAACCAGTGTTCTTAACCACTGAGCCATCTCTCCAGCCCCATGATTTCATGAGTTTTTGTATAACAATGATAATAAGGGTAATTGTGTAGTGTTAAAGTATGGAAAGGTTGTCTACCCCAAAGTGTGCTACTTTGGTGTGCAAATTATTTTGAGATGAAGGCAGACCAAAAATAAAAAAGCCATGGAGGATGATTTTCATGGAAATCGGTGATTTTTTCTTTCTTTTTTTTTTTTGCTATGTATATTGGATTTGGTCTGAGTGCTTTGTGTTGGGTTGTAGGGCCAAGTTGCTCATTCAGATATGTCATCCTTCTGGTCAGACCTTGATACGCAGCAGAAATGTAAAAGCTACTTTTTCAGGTGCTAATTGGAGGAGGGTGGAGCTCAGTGTAAGCTCCAAGTCCACAAGAACTAGTTAGAGTATATTCACCCCTCTGCTTTCCAGATGCCCCTACCTGCATCGAACAACTGGGGACACAGAGCGCAAGTACCACCTGCGCTACTACAAGACAGGCACATGTATCCATGAGACAGATGCACGGGGCCACTGCGTGAAAAATGGGCTACACTGTGCCTTTGCGCATGGCCCCCTGGACCTGCGGCCACCTGTGTGTGACATCAGGTGAGTGAGGTGCCTACTGGGGACCAGTCTACCTCTTTGCTGCTTCTGGCATTGCTGTTTCAAAACATCTCTTTTTGAGCCCCAGTTTTATTTTTTGGTTTTGGAGGTAAGGTCTCCTATGTATTCTATGCTGGCCTCAAACTCTCCATCCTCTTGTTACTGCCTCCTGAGTGCTGGGATTGCAGGTGTTTACCACCACATCCAATTTATGTGGTGCAGTGGATCAAACCCAGGGTTTTGGGTATGTTATGCAAGCACTCCACCAACTGAGCTCTATCCCTAGCTTCCCCTCATCTGTTCTGAGTCTTTCCCTCTTTATGTACTGTGAGCCACTCAGGAGGACAGAGGTGTGATGCTCCTGTCTAGACAAATGGTCATGAAGTATGTCCAGCTGCTGTAGAAAGCAGATCCTTCCTGAATAGAGTATGATGACTCATGCCTGTAATATCCCTTGGGAGATTGAAGCAGGCAGATTGCCATGAATGCAAGGCCAGTCTGGGATGCATAGTGACATGCTAAGTACCAGACTAGTCTGTGCTTACAGCAGAGTGAGACCCTGTATCAAAAAAGCAGACCTGTTCTAACCAAACCAGCCCTGAAGTTGCAATTTGATATAGAAATGTTGTTCCAAGACTGCTGCTGTGCCTGATACCACTGAAACCTGGCCCTAAACCTCCAGGCTGCATTCATGAAGTGAGGAACCAAGTGACTCTGGAGCCATAGATTCTGCTGGCTTCCTCTCACCTTCAAGGCTGGGGTCTTCAGGACTGTTAATGATGTGCTGTTGGTTGTAGGGAGCTGCAGGCTCAGGAAGCCTTGCAGAATGGCCAACTTGGCAGTGGGGACGGCATTCCTGATCTGCAGCCTGGGGTCTTGGCCAGCCAGGCCATGATCGAGAAGATCCTGGGTGAGGACCCTCGGTGGCAAGGTAAGCCCAGGGCTACTGAGAGACCCAGTGGGGAGAGCTGTGACCATTCACTTGGTGCCTGCTCAGTTCATTTGTTCCTTTTTTTTTTTTAAAAATATTTTATGCATTATTTTTATTTTATGTGTATGAGTGTATTGCCTGCCTGTATGTGAGTTCACCCATGTTGTGCAATGCCATGGAGGTCAGAAGAGGGCTTCAAATTCCTCTGGAACTGCAGTTAAAGGACGGTTCATAGCCACCATGTGGGTATTGGGAACTGAACCCAAGTCCTCTGCAAGAGCAGTCAGTGCTCTTAACTGCTGAACCATCTCTCCAGCCCTGTTCTTCTTTTTTTAATTGAATTTTTGCAAATTTCATACAATATATTTTGATTGAATTTTGATCCCCTCCCCCATCTGAATCCCCCCATCATCCCCCCCAATTTCATGTTCTCTTGTTATATATATAAAGAGAGGCCTATGGAGTCCAACTTGTGTCCTCAAATGCCCTTTGATGTTCATTTGGTCTTAATGTGATCTTTAGTGGGATCAGTCCAGTACTAACCTTCAGCCACTTAGGAAGCAGGTGACCAAGTAGGTTTTGAACCCAGCTATCTGACTTCAGACTACACTGGTCTGTCATACCAACTGGCATCTTTGTGGGTGGTGTTGGTTGGCTGGGCGGGGGTATGTGTATTGTTCAGTCCCCACAGTGACTCCCAGTCAGCCTGTTCTAGCACAATGCTGGCTGGTATCAGTAGCTACCAGCCTTATTAATGTTGGTTCTACTTCGACTCAACTTGGGCCTTTCCGTGTATGGAGTTCAGATCAGATGTTTTGTCTGTTCTTGGATTTGACTCTTGTTGCTGTGGCACCCATGTTGTTGGCAGGTTCCATGCATGGATAGTTGGAAACAGCAGAAGAGTCTTGTTTTGTGGTAAAATACACATAAAATTTATCATTTTTAGGATCTGGCGAGATGACTCAGTGAGTAAAGTGCTTGTTGCACAAGCATGAAGACCTGAGTTCAGATCTCCATCACACGTGTGAAAAGTCAGGCATGGCAGTGCAAGCCTGTATCCCAGTGTTAGGGAGATAAGAGAGAGGACGATCCTAGAGGCTTGATAGCCAGCCGCCTAACCAATTGATAAGCTCCAAGTCCTAAGAGACCCTGTCAGAAAATAGAGTGAGATTGATAGAAGACACTTGATGTCAACTCTAGTCCCCATATGTGCACACAAGAAAG